TCTAAGGTAAATGCGAAAATTAAACAAGTCAGTGTGGGTGAAGCATTGGGAATGATGCTGGCATATGACACATTTCATGCAAGTCCATACCCCAAAACCAACGATTCCCTTCTCTGGCAAAAATTATTATTATTGTTGTTATTGTTATTATTACTATATTTGTTTCCTCTTCTACCATCTATAACCATTGGTTTCTACTAATAATATAATCATTTTAACAAATAATTTCTGGGTGCTAGATGCACTCACCATGCATCTGTCTGTTTTTTATGTATTATATATATGGTTTCTCAAGATAAATGCCTTCTGTTGCTGCAGATCTACTCTCTGTCCTCCACCTGCCAACATGAAAAGAAATAAAGGCCCACCTCTAAGCTTAGGGGCTGAAAACAACCATGGCTTATTAGTGTGCCATTCTGAGGGTTAGTGATTTGGGTGGGATTCAGACAGGAAGTTAATTTTGTGGCTGCAGTTAATCAAAAGGGTCATCAGAAGACCAGGGGTCCTGGATGATGTCACTTATTTGTTTAGCAGCTAAAAGGGGTCCACCAGGGCAACAGGCCATGGATCTCCAGTGTATAGCTGGATTGTAGACCCAACAAAATCCAACACAGCAAATCCCTGTGTGCACGCACTTTCCAGGATTCAGCTTCAAGCCAGATAGGCAATGGTGACTCACACCTGTAATCCTAGCTACTCAAAAGGCTGGGATCTAAGGATCACAGTTCAAAGCCAGCCAGGGCAGTTACATCTGTGAGACTCTTAGCTCCAATAAACCACAAAAGAGAGAGAGAGAGAGAGAGAGAGAGAAGAAAAGAAAATGTCCCACTTCGTTAGGTTTTCTAGTGGAGTCCACATTTGAAGGCTGCCAGAATTGAGCCTGTTTCTTGGTGGGAGGAGCTATGAAAGAATGTAGCCTTTCTTTAAAAAAAAAAATCTACTCTGTAGTACACACCTTTCCAGAAAGATCTGTGCATTGACAACTGCATTCTATATTCTCAAACCCAAGTCAGTAAAGCAACATGGGAGATACCTCTGTGTTTTAGGAGCTGGAGAGTGCTCTCCTTTTCAGAGTTTAGTAAGTATCTACTATTCTTCTTGCCCTTTACTCTGAGACTCGATGTAATTCTAAAAGGATAGTTTCTTAACATTTAGCATGAGGGAGTGGAATTTTTTTTAATTAGCTTCAGCAGAACTTTTTAGAAAAGAATCTTTCATGTCTTCAGTTGCCTCTCCCTTGTTATAAATTTTAACTCCACCCAGTGGCACACCACAGCCCGCTAGCTTCTCCTTCCCACCCAAGCATTCGCTTGGCAGGCAGGCTATACTCAGATTGCAGCGGAAAGAGGAGGGAGAACTCTTGCTCCCTGCTCCCCTCCCTTCTTCCCTCCTTTCTTCCACACCTCTGGGGCTTACCTGCCTAGGCTCACTCCTGCTCTGTACCCCAGGGGTACTCTCCTAGGGGCAAGATGCTAAGAAAAAAATGGTTTGACACAGGGCTACCTGGACAGCACCCCCTCCTGCCAGGTTGGGCATTGCAACATAATAGCCTAGAAATGTAGCCAGAAGATTATACCTCCCCAGAATTAATGTAAAAGATAGGTTGCGTATAAAATTATTTCAAACACTTCTGAACTTGATGTGGCTAGCCATTGATTCATTTCCTAAGTATTTATGGAGTACTTACAATGTTCCAGGCCTCAAAACTATAAAGAAACTTATGATCTAGTGGAGAAGAACATGAAAAGAATGTCTGTTGAACAATGTCAATTAATTATATCAATTATATAAAAGAGTATCATCTGAAAATATTAAAGACTTGTCATGGAGATTCTTTCTGATGTCTGGCCCCAAGATGCCCAGTCGAAATACATAGTTATGAGCCATGAATATAATTAAAAATTTTCCATCAGCCACTTTTTTAAGTAAAAATAAACAGATAAAAATAATATTGAGCTGGGCATTGGTGGCTCACATTTGTAATACTAACTACTCAGGAGGCTGAGATCCGAGGATTGTGGTTTGAAGCCAGCTCAGGTAGAAAGGTCCATGAGATTCTTATCTCCAATAAACTACAAAGAAAAAGCCAGAAATGATGCTATGGCTCCAGTGGTAGAGTGCCAGCCCTGAACAAAAACAGGCTCAGAGAAAGCACTCAGGCCCTGAGTTCAAGCCCCAGGAATAACAACTGAGAAAGTTAAGGTCTGAGGATTGCAGTTCAAAGCCAGCCTGGGCAAGAAAGTCCACGAGATGCTTATCTCCAATTAGCTACCAAAAAAAAAAAAAAAAAGGAAGAAGAAGAAGAGGAGGAGGAGGAGGAGGAGGAGGAGAGGAAGGGGAAGAAGAAGAGGAGGAAGAAGAAGAAGAAAAATCCAGACATGGAGTTATGGCTTAAGTGGTAGAACTCCAGGCTTGAACAAAAAAAAAAGCTCAGGAACAGCACCCACACCGAGTTCAAGCCCCAGGACTAGCACCAACAAAAAAATATCATGATCATATATATATATATCATCCAAACCAGTATAACTAAGCTATTTCTATTTCACTTTGCAGTCAATTATTAATGAGATATTTTACATTCTTTTTTTATTGTATTACATGTTTGAAAACCAGGACGTATTTTATAATTACAGCACACCTCAATCTGGACGACAAAATTTCCAACAGTTAAAGTAAAATGTAGTCCTATCAAAGCAATTAACTTGTGTTTAACAGAAACATATTTTATATTGCTTCAGTTTAAAATTCATAATTGAGATGAAATAAGAGAGAACGCTCAGTTCTTCACAGTTCTTCGCAACTCACAGGGAAGGCTGGTGACTATGAAGTCAGAAGTCAGAGTCAAAGCAAAGACAGGAAAGGGTTGGGGAGGGGAGGAGTCAAGACGTAAGAACCAACTGGGAGGGGGAAGAGCAATGACACACATATCTAGAATCCTAGCACTAGGATGTTCAAGGCTGGCTTGCTTCCTAGCAAGACTCAAAAGGAAGGGGAAGAGACAGGAGGGGAAGAGACAGGAGGGAAGGAGAAGGAAGGGAGGGATGATAGGAGAGGAGAGGCATGTAACATAGTATAGATATATTTATCTTTTTTTCATCCAAATGATGCTGTTATCTTTCATTAGTATACATTAATAGTGTGTGTGGGGGGAAGTATCACTGTGATCATTTTCATCTTTTTGCTTCTGGAAAACCCTTCTGTTTGGGTATGTATTCATAACACTGGAAGTTTCTATTTTCTAGTCCAAAGCATCTATGCTTTGCCTAAGAGTTTTCAAAATTTTTGGCCACAATCCATGATGAAAACTGAATCTTCACAACCCATTAGAAATTTTGCATGTGTGTGTGTGTGTGTGTGTGTGTGCATATTAATATGGCTCACTCCCAGCCTATGTGGTACAGGCTGCTATTTTCTATGTGATTCCCATTTTTTTAAAACAAAAATTAATGAAAGGAAAGAAAAGAAAAGAGAGGGAAGAAAGGAGAAGGAAGGAAGAGGAGGAAGGGAAGGGAGAGGAAGGAAAATGGATCAAAATTCACCAAGTTGAGTTAGAACCCACTAATGGGCCGCACCCAGAGTTTGAAAGCACTCTCCTTGCTTCAGGCCTCTCCCTGCCTTTTAGCCTCTACTTTAAAGGAAAGAATTGCCTTAGGTGGAGAGATTTATTTATTTGTGTGTGTGTGTGTGTGTGTAATTTTTTCTCAATTTCAGACTGCTCCAAAGTACACAGAACACAGGAATACCCCCCTTTCTTAGAAAGGAGGGAAAAGCTGAGGAGGAGGTAGGCCAGGCTTTTTGAAGATGTCCATCTCATCTTGCAATTTCTCTGCATTAACCTTCGGTTGAGACAGAAAATGAGGCTCTTCTAGCCCAGCATGCCCCAGGATGAACGCTCTCTCGCTCTCTCTCTCTCTCTGTCTCTCTGTCTCTCTCTCTCTGTCTCTCTATCTCTCTCTGTCTCTCTCTCTTTCTCTCTCTCTTGAACTTAAGGCCTGGTACTTGCTAGGCAGGAGGTCTGCTACCTGATTCACGCCCCCTAGCCCTTTCTTGCTTTACTAAATTTTCAGGTAGAGTCTCGTGCTTTTACACTTTTGCCAAGGGCACGCTCCTCCTACCGAAGCCTCTCAGTAGCTGGGATGCGGTAGCAGGGTCGTCCCTGGTGTGTTTGTTGAGATGGGGTGTCACTAGCTCTCTGCCATCCTGAATAGCACTTGATATTCTTTCTTCAACATTAAGCTTTGATGGGCTATAAAAAGACATAGTCCTTCTTCTGCATCACGAAGACCACAACCTTCCCTGTCTGCGTCAGCCATCCTCATCGGCCAGCCTTGGCTTCTTTCAGTTCCTCAATATAGAGAGTATTTCTTACGCTACTTTCTGCCATAATCCCAGTCTTCATTCTGAGTACCAAGGCCTCCTTAGCGTAAAGAAAATGCCTAAGAGAAAATAAGTGGACCCAGATTCGTGTGAGTCTTCAAAGGGCCTCGCCTTTTCTCTGAAGTACCTGGATTCCTCTTTTCTTTATGCCAGTACCAAGGCTTGAACTCAGAGCCATACACTCACAGCTGGTGGTCTGTCACTTGAGTCACACCACTAGCCCAGGTTTTATTTTTGCTGGGGTTTTTGTTTGTGTGTTTGTTTGTTGTCGGTTGTGGAGCTTGAACTCTGGGCTGTCCCTCAGCTCTTCGGTTCAAGGGGAGCGCTCTATCACTTGAGCCACAGCTCCACTTCCGGTTTTCTCAGTGGTTAATTTGAGATAAGAGTCTCACAGACTTTCCTGCCCGGGCTGGCTTTGAACCTCAATCCTCAGATCTCAGCCTCCTGAGTAGTTAGGATTAAGGGCGTGAGCCACCGGCACCCAGCTTTGCTGCCTATTTTGAAGATGCAATCTCATCGACTTTTCTACCCAGGCAAGTTTTGAACCACAATCTTCTAGACCGCAGTCTTCTGAGTAGTTAGCATTACAGGAATAAGACATTGGCATGTGGCCATTCTCTATGACATGTCAGGCTATCCACCCTCCCGGCACTCACTGGCTTGTGAACGCTGAGTGTAGAAATAACCACTTGCTCTTTGCCCCCAGTGTCACAGGTGCGGCAAAGCAGCCTGACCTGCGATGCTAGCAGGTGCAGGGCTGGGTCTGCAGAGCCGTCTACAGTCCTATTAGTATGCATTTTCCAGAGAGACTTTTGAAGGGAAACACGGCATCCAGGGCTGCTGGAACACTGAGCTAAAGCAGAATGAGGGAGGGGAGGGTAAGCGCAAGCCTTCTGGGGTCATGTGAGTCTGGATTTGAGCACTGGCTTCAGTGCAGCGGATATCAGCTTCAACAAGTTGTATCTTCCAAAGCCTCGGTTTCCTCATCTGGAAGAGTACAAGTAACAGTGGCTTCTGAGAGTGTGAAGCCTCCGTGAAAGGCGTCAGCCATCTAGCACTGGACTGGCTGCAGAATCAGTGCCGGAATGTTCTTATTCCGTTGTGGAAGGAAACCCATACCAGACAGAGGGGGCACTAAAGGTAGCCAAGTATGAATAAATGAACTCCAGGATCCATAACCCTGAGGCAGGGGTAGATCTGGAGATGCTGGATCAGAACTAGGGGTCTCCTTCATGCGGATGTGGGGAGACTTAGAGATTGGGAGAGGGGGAGCAGCCAAGGAGAGCATCTGGTTTCTTTAGCAGTTGGTACTGACCTTCCATGGCTTGGTTTCCCTGGGAAATGCCAGGTTCCGAATTGATGGCCAATAAGCAAGGCCTGGAAAGAAAAGCTGACAGTGCTTCTGTACATTTAGACTCTTCTAGAATCATTACAGAAAGGTCTAGGATGCCTCAGGGTGTACACAGTGGTCACCTTTGCCTGTGAGCAGTTCCATGACTAGACACAGTCCAGTCATATCCAATATGTCAGCTGTTTAGAAACTTGAAGAAAGTCACCAAGGGAGTCTGCCCAACTTTTGACAGTAACTTTAAAGTTGATTAATGAAGGGTTTAAAGTTGATTAATGAAGGGTTGATTAATGAAGAATATTAAATATAACCTTAAGCCAGGCACTGGTGGCTCATGCTTGTAATCCTAGCTACTCAGGAGGCTGAGATCACAGGATCGTGGTTCAAAGCCAACCCTGAGCAGAAAAAGAAAGATCTGTAAGGTTCTTAGTTCCAGTTAGCCACCAAAAACTGAGCTGTGGTTCAGTGGTAAAGCACCAGCCTTGAGGGGGAAAAAAAAAAGCCTAGTACCAGTGTACAGGTTGTAAGGTCAAGCAAGTCCCAGGACTTGCACAAGAAAAAGAAGCAACTTTAGTTAACAAAATTCTAACTGTACTTCAGCCACAATCACTGAATAGCCTCAGAAAAATGAGCAGCATGTATGCAAAAATCCATTCCCCTGAAAGTTTCTAGAAAAGTAAGAGTCCCCGTCCAAGGGACAATCCTGTGACTAAAACCTCCTCCTACCTGTGAAATACAGAAAGGAACACACTCTACCCATCAGTAGGAACTAAGACTTCCCATCCATATCTAGTTTCACTTCCTGTTGCCTCGTCTAGAACATTCTCTCTTGGCAGCCCTCGGCTTCCGCCTCTTCCCTGTCATTCCCAGCGTGGGTGGATGTGATTATAGCCTGTGGAGGTTCTTGCTTAATTATAATTACTCACATTAAAGCAGCGTCTTGGATGATGCCTCATTCTCCCAGCTGTAATGTGGACATGGGTGTGGATAGGCGCAGGACATGTATATCACAGCCTGTGATTTTTCATTTCTGGGAGGCAGCTAGATAGTAGCTGGCAGAGTTTTTACACTTCCTCAGGCCTTTTGCTAACCCTCAATTAGAACCTGTTCTTAATTTCCCAGTCCAGTTTATTGACCTTCAGGATAGGGTGAAAGATTGTACCTTCCTAAGAGTATAAAATGCCTTTCTTCTTCCCTTCTCTTCCCTTCCTGTCTTTCTGCCGACTTCTCTGTCTCCGGCTTCTTGTTCCTATTGCCTTTCTTCTCCTCTTGTGGTTGTCCTTCCAGTCCTTTACTTTCTCTAATTCCTTCTCCTCTTCTTTCCCTCCTGTATCTCCCTCTTTCTTTTCTCTCCCTCCCTCCCTGCAATGTGTGCTGGTTTGTTTCATCTCTCCTGATTTGTTTAATCATTTAAAGCTTGGGCCCAGGGGGTACTAATCACTCATGCCTATAATCCTAACTACTCAGGAGGCTGAGGTATGAGGTATGAGGATTGCAGCCAGCCCCATTAGGAAAAGTCCATGAGACTCTTATCTCCTTTTAGCCACCAGAAAACTGGAAGTGAGGCTGTGATTCAAAGTGGCAGAGTGCTAGCCTTGAGCGACAGAGCTCAGAGACAATGCCCAGGGCCCCACAAAAAAGAAAGAAGGGAAGAAAGAAAGAAGGAAATGAAAGAAAGACAGAAAGAAAGGAAGGAAGGAAAGAAGGAAGGAAGGAAGGAAAGAAGGAAGGAAGGAAGGAAAGAGGGAAGGAAGGAAGGAAGGAAGAAAAGGAAGGAAGGAAGAAATATGAATGCTGGTCTGTTGATCTCATGGAGTGGAGTTCTCTCTCTCTCTCTCTCCTGTCCCCCACATAATCTCTTATACATGTGGTCCTGCAGTTGTCCCAGAATCTACCAGAAGCTCCCTCACCAGGGCTAACAAGGTGCCAGAATTTGGCTCTTTGAATGTTCTAAGTTTAATATAAGTTACCTAGACTTGGGAACTTTGTTATAGCACCACAATTAGACTAATACAGCAATGTTTCTTGGAGACTCTAGAATGTTTGGAATGTGTTAGACACACAGTGAATATTAATTTCCTTTTATCCTCCCTGAGAGTCTGTGTAGTCAGGATAAATAACCAAGGTGGGCAGGTGACATTTATAAAAGCACAGTATTTCATGCATTCACTTCTATATAGGTTGGTCCTGTGGCTGTCAAGAGCCGGCAGGTCAATTTTCATTCTGGAATGCCGCAGTAACTGCATTTGATTCTTTAATGTTTAAATAGTATCTGCTTTCTCTTCGTTGGCATGATTGTTAGACCTCCCATTAGTGTGCTTATTTATGTATTTTTAATTTCACTAGCAATGCATGAAAGCATTCTCATGGGATGTGGGTGGGGGTGGGGAGAGAACAAACAAGATAGGATAAAACACAAATGCTCCTTGACCACCACCTAAAACTAACCTTGTTCCAGAGATGACACCAATTCATCGTGCAGCCTTTCACATTTTCATTCGCATGCTTATGAACAGAGAGTAATCCTGCCCTCTCAAACATAAGAACACATGCCTGCTATTGTGTGGTAACTTAGTTGTTTGTTTCTTTAGTAGTTTAAACTACTCTAAAGGGCCTTTGGGAGATATAGACATAGACATACATATATACACATACATACATATATACATATATATACATATGTATCAGTATATGTTGTCGGGGGTTGGCTTTTTTTGGTCATTATCTGAGAGCTCCAGCTCATTTTTCAGTAGCTGCTTTGACGTATTCTGGAATCTCCCCACTAAACTTAGCGAAAGTATAGAACTTGTCTTTTTCCATTTCTTTGTCCTCTCAACTGCTAGCATTCCCGATCACATACCAGGTGTTTGATGATTATGTTAACCATTATAAATAGACCCTAAAGCTTAACTATTCTATTCCATATGCGTTGTAACCATTCCTCTACTGATGAAAGGTTGAGTTATTTCTTCCCTTCTACCATCATGTCTCCCTCGCTGTGCACTATGCATTTCTTTCTCCAGTGAAAGTCCTAAGAAATGGAATTGCCAGGGCAAATACTTTTTATTTTTGTAAATGATCTTCAACGTTGCCAAAATGTCTTCCAAAGACCATGGCGCCAGCCATCCTATTAATAACACCTCTCCTAAGGTGTCTTCTCGACAACATGTTTCCAAAATAGTTCTACGTAACCCTTTCTGTTTTGATTTCAGGGCGAAAGGAAGGAAGGTATTAATTAGAGAGAAATGGGGGAAATACAAAAATTAATTCATTCTTTTTTTTCCCTCATTCATTGATTACCATCCTAGGCCCTGCAGCAAATACTGAACAAATTTAAAGCAAACAAATAAGCAACATGTACTATTCACTCTAGAAGAGACAATAGTCTAGACTTCATACCTAAATTCTTAATTCTTAAAATATAATTCTCATAGCCAGGTACCTGAAGCTCACATCAGTCACCTTAGCTACTCAGGAGGCTGAGACCTGAAGCTCATGGTTTGAAGCCAGCCCAGGCAGGAAAGTCAGTGATATTCTAATCTCCAATCAACTATCAAAAAGCTACAAGTGGAACTGTGACTCAGGACAGCTAAGGTAGAGTCCTAGCCTTGATCATAAAAAATAAAAAGCTTAAGGACAGCACTCAGACCCTGAGTTCAAGCCTCAGAACCAACACACACACAAAGCAATACGAGTAATTATCATAATGAGACATGACAACCAAATACAAGCTCTGATCCTAGATTGGATCCTCAAGTAGGAAAACTAACGGCTATAACGTGATGTTTTGATGTATTTGATACAACTCAGAGATAATCAGTAGATTTGATAGTACCGTGGTTTTGTTCATTACACTAGGGATTTGTCAGAGAATATTCTAGGAAATGAACATTGAAGCATTCAGGTGTACATGAACACAGCCTCTCCAACGGACTCTTAAACTCTACCCCTGTGTAACTCAGACTTGTCCAGTGGAACTTCCGGTCCTGATGGAAATGTTCTGCATCTGTTCTGATAATATAGCAGCATCAACCACATAGGACTACCAGGCAGTTGAAATATGGTGGACATAGCTAAGGAATTGGATAATTCATTTCATTCTGCCTTTGTGTACTAGCTACACATGACTAGAAGCTAATATGTTGGAGAGCATAGCTACACACACACACACAGAATATGATAATAAACTAATGGGACAAAACATGAGGTGAGCCTATAGGAAAAGTATAGTGGAAGTTTTCAGTCTATTCTCATATTTTTTTCCTCTGAGTTTGAATTATATTTTTTTGAATTATATTACATAATGAATGTAATGCAATGGTGAGAAAATTCTAATTCAAATATAAAGGAAGTATCCTTTATTAAATTAGCAGAAGTGGGACTGGGAAGGTGGCTCAGTGGTAGAGCGCTTGC